CCCCCGTGCACAAGAGCCTGCGCTGCAGCGGAGGGGCCGACGAGCCTCCCGGGACGGAGCGGGGAGGGCTGGGCTTGCCCGCGGTGGCGCACGGCCCGGCCGCCGCCGCCGTACGAAGCTACCCGGTCATCCCGGTGCCCAGCAAAGGTTTCGGGATGCTGCAGAAGCTGCCCCCGCCGCCGGCTAGCCCCACTCCGCCGGTCCTGACCGAAGCCAGAGGGTGGCAAGGCGGCGGCGGCTGCGGGGGCCGCGCGTGGTTGGACGGCGCGGCCGAGGAGGGCAAGGCTCGCTTGCGGCTGCCGCCGTTGAACATGGCTTTGACGTCCTCCCAGGCGAAGACCAGCTCGTCCTGCGGGCTTTTGTCGGTCAGCTTGAGGTGGCGGCGCCAGGAGTTGAAGTTGGCGGCGTCGGGCTGCGTGTACTTGGCGTCGGGTGTGCGGTGCGAGTGGAAGATGAACTTGTTGGGCGAGAAGTACATGCTGCAGTAGCTGCACTTGATGCACTTGGCGCGGGAGCTGTTGTAGCGCGCGGGGATGAAGCTGCCCCGGGAGCCCCAGGCGCACTCGTGCACCACGTCGAAGGCGAAGTTCTCGGGCAGTTTGGGCGGCTTGTGCTCGCCCAGGAAGGACTTGCAGAGCCGCTCGGCCTCGCGCTTGGTGATCATGCCGCAGCGGCGCGAGGAGATGGGCATGGCGCCGGCTCGGCGCAGGATCTCCAGCTGCACCGGCGTGCACTGCACGCAGGTGATGCCCAGCGCCACCCGACGGTTGTGGATCTCATTGTAGCTGAAGTTCTTGAGCAGCGTGTTGGAGATCTGCGCCAGGCAGAGGCGCTCCTGCCCGTCGATGACCAGCGACACGATGGGGACGCCGTAGAGGGAGGTCTCCCCGACCTGGTTGGGCTTCAGAGGGCTGGAGCCGGCGTAGGGCTGCAGCTCCTGCTTGGAGTGAGGGGAGGACGAGGAAGAGGACGAAGCTGAGGACGAGGAGGAGGAGCCAGACTCGCGCCCCGCTCCCAGCTGACTGGCGGCGGCCAGCGGCTCCATCTCTGCCGCAGGCGGCCGGACCCCTGCAAAGAAGGGGGAAGCGGGAGAGGCGCTAAGCGAGGCACCAGCCGACTGGACAACTGGGCCCCGGGGAGGCAGGGCTGGAGCCGAGGCCGGCTGACCTCTCCGTCCTAGGCCGGGCCGGGGGTCAGGCCTGCCGCCTCGCTTTCGGCGGAAGGGCCTCTGCCGCAGCCCAGGCCGCCCCCTCCCTCGGGGAGTCTTCCTCGGAAGCTCTCCGGGAGGAGAAGAACGGGCGGAGGGGCGGGGGAAGGAGTGCGCCCGCCTGAACCGAGGCTCCCGGCCGGGTTCCTTGGAGAAGCCGCTGGAGAGCACACCCACCCCCGGGTCAGCTCTTCCAACTGGGGGAGTGGACGCTTGCGCGTGTTCCCAGAGGGCCTTTCCTTGGCTGCGGTGCCTCCTTTCCGCTTTCTTGCCCCCTTTTCAAAAGATGCCTTAAAAATCAAAATATCCTAAACCGCGAATTGTATTTAACCACCACCGGTATCCTGATCATTGTTCGTGCGGCGGGTGGGGGGAGGGGGAGGGAGAAAACGGAGGCTTCCCGGAGGGAGTCTCCGGGGTGGATTTACACGCGCGGGGAGCCGTCCGGCGGCTTGTCAGCCAGCGGTGCTGGCGCCCTCCTTGACGGCCCCGCTGGGGCTTAAGAGCAGAAGCAGGCTGTTCTGCCGGCCTTACCGCTAATCCTGCCTTAACGTGGCGTTAAGAGGCATTTAACCCGGGTCCCTCCTGCCCCAGGATCGCCCCGTCCGCGGCCGAGCCCAGCCGGGCCAAAAGGAGCAACAGCCGCGGCGGTTCTCAACTCAGCTGGCAGCCGGGGAGCCGATCCTGCGCTTTCCTCGCATTTCCTCCCTGCTTCCTCTTTTCCAACTTTCTCGGCTCTAAATCGGATGAAGGGCCAGGTCGAAAAGTGGGTGAGCCGCCGTGGCTAATCCGTCCCCGCCGCTCCTCTTATACCTTTCGGGAGACGCCAAAGCCTCCTTAAGCGCCACTGAAAGTCTCCTCCGGCAGCCCAGAAGACCCGGAGGCCGGGATTAAAGTGCAGCTCTGGGGGAATTACGGACAATCGGCCCAGCCTTTCTGCCGCTCTCAAACGGGGACCCAAACTTCGTTTTCTGTCCTTCGGCAGGAGCAGCCCAGCGCCGTCCAAGCCTCGCCCGCCTCCTCCTCCTGACCCCTCGCCCCAAACCTCACAGCAAAGGCGCCCAAGCCTAATCAACACCGGGCAGGTTCCCCCAAGGAGACCTCTATTAAAAGGGGGCGCATCCCTGCGGGGCGAGGGCCCTGGCGCTCCTAATCAGATCTCTACGCAAAGAGAATGTCATGCAGGGAATTTATGTTCGAATCCTCGTTTTGCCCCTTGGAAAAAGTCACCCGGCGCAGCTTTGAAAGCCTGGCGCAAAAGCAGAAAAGGAGCAGCTCTTCTGAGACGGGAGCAACGAAATCAAAGGAAACTAAAGCTTGTCCAGCTATGCGAGGCATCCTTAGAAAGGGGTAAAGGAGCGGAAAGGGGGAGGCAGACAGGAAAACCTCCCTTAGTCCCGGGAACCGCCGCCGCCAAAGGGAGGCTGTCTTCACCGTCCGGGAGTGATTCCCGGATCTCCCGAAAGCCTCCCAGCGCCGAGCGGGGATCGCGGCAGGGGCGAGGAAGAAGGAGACCCCCCCCCCAGCTGTGCTTGCCCGGGGCCCTGGCTTACCGGCGGCGGCGGGGGCTTCTCACTCGCCCAGATCCACAGGCGAGCCCGGCAGTGGCGCGGCGACGAAGGCTGCGGCCGCGGCGGCGGCGCCTTTCATGGAGCTTCTTCCTGGCGGTCTCCCGCCCGTCGCCTCAGTCCACGGCTTTGGCGAGGCGGGCGGGCGGTTGACCGCATGGCTCGGCTTTAAAAAAAGGAAAAAAAGAAGGAGGGGGGAGAAAGGCAGGAGGCGGGGGGAAGAGGAGGAGGAGGCGGAGGCGGGCGGGTCCCAGCCTTCCTTGGAGCCGCTGCTCCCTCTGATCCGCCGGCAGCGCAACTCTCAGCCAGGCGGGCGGGCAACACCCACTTAGCACCGTTGCGCGAAACGCCGCCGGGACGCCTGTCAATCATCCGGTGGGCAGTCAATCCAAAGGCAGATGGGCTTCCTTAAGAAAAGACAGATTGCTGGCGGGAGGAGGGGTAGCATGGGGGGGAGGAGGAGGAAGAGGAGGAGAAGAGGAAGCGCGCAGCAAGGAGCCGCCGGCAGCGAGAAGGTAGGAGTCCCCGCTGGCTGCACACCTTTCCTTTTCCTTAGCCTGACCCACTGAAGGAGCCTCGATCCAGCCCGCCTCACACACACCACTGCCCGGGATCGAACGCGCGAAGCTTCCTGTGCTCCCCCCGCCGCCTGAGACTGGGTCGAGCCTTTCTTAAAGGGCAAGAGACGGGAAGCGAGGCCTCGGGGAAGTCCGTCGACGGAGGGGCGCTTAAGCACCCCCCCAGTCCATTTCTACAACCAAACCTATTTTCATTTGTGTTGCAAATGAAAATATGGGGAGGGGCAATGAAAGTGGGGAGCCCAACAAGACGGGGGCCAAGACTGGCTTCTCTGGGACTCCAGCGGGATTCGGCCTCTCCAGCAGGTGGGTCTCTGCCCCGCTGGCCCCGCATTTTTTTTACAAGTAACAGGCGCTGTAGACCAACCACCGTTCACGGTCTTATTCGTTTATTTTTCCGTTTTCCTTTTTTCTCCCCTCCTTTTTATAAATGAGGGTAATTTCCATCACCGCCCCCACCCCGCACCTTGAACGGCTCCCAGACCCGCAGGCGATTTCTCGGGGGTCTGGAGCGAGGGATGGAGGGGGCAGCCTGGTCGGGAGTTCAGTTGAGGACTAGGTGCAGGGCGACTCAAACGAAGGGTGAGGGGAGTGAACTCCTTGAATCCGGGCTGCTGGCAAGACGCGCTTCTCCTACCCCCCTCCCCGCCCCCGCCGGCCAGTCCTAAGCGATGGTTGAAGGATTAATATTTGGGGGCAGCTCTAAAATTGGCCTATTTACTATTTGCCCTATAAGCAAATCCCCGGGAGGGGAGCAGCTTCGTAGATGCCCGGAATCTTGGTGAAAGAAATCTTTCCCTCCCCGAGAAGAACGGGATCCATTTCCCCTTCCTTCCCCGCTTGGCTCACTGGCGAAGCTGGCAGGGAAATCAAAGCAGCGTCAACTACAACATTGAAGGCGGCAGGTCAAAAGAGCTGGCCGGTCCCTCCGTCGGGGAGAGCCGCCTCTTTCATCGGAAAATTTCTCACGCGGGGGGAGGGGGAAGTAAACAATGAATAATCATCAAATTATCCCAAAATGCCTCCGCGGAAGAAGACGCAAAAGTAGCGAGGCGCCGGTTCGGCTCTCTTGGAGCAGCCTATCGCCTTTCCCCAGCTGGAGAATACCTGGCCGTGAGATCCGCTCAAAGACCCCGTAAGAGACCAACCTTCGGGTCCCTTAAGAGGCCTCTGCTTTCAAGCCAGGTCAGGGGTACCGGGGGAAAGGTGCCTCTTTGGGAAGATGGTCCCACGAAGGGCTCCCTCGTGGCTTCCTCGGACCGCCCCCCAAACGAAAGCGCCCCAGCCCTTCCTTTGACCAACGGAGCCCTCGGTGGGGTCTGCGGAGGCCGAGCGCTCGAATCCCGTCGCCCTCCGACCTAGCTCGGGGCTTGCAAGAAAACTTGATGCAGAGGAAGCTCCGTTTTACACACCCGATCCTGACTCTCGAGCTGGAAAGGCGGCCTTAAAACCACAATTAAGTAGAGATGTTGGCATGATTGTTGTTATTATTCTATTTAGGATATTATAATTATTATTCTTATCCGACTGCCTGCCGCCCCTCCTCCTCCTCCTCCTCTCCCCGGATGCTTCGTCCCCGCCCTCTTCTTTATGTTGAATTCGTTCCAGGGATATTCTTTTTGCTCCCCCCCCCACTACAATAAATACATTGAAACATCATAATGAAAAACTCGCCCCCACCTCGTCCCTTCCCGGCACTCCATTCCTCAGGCTGTTTCTAAAAGCATCTTGGCATTAAGTGCTCTTAATGGACGCGTTAATTAAACTGTAATTAATCATACTGTCCGGCCCCAAATTTGAGCAATTACACTAATCAAACAGAAGTTAATAACGGCCCAGGCTGGCGCCCTCGGGCGAGCACTTTTGCGGCGCGGGCGCTCCGGCTCGGCAGCCAACAGCGTTCGCCTTTCGCCCCGGCATCTGGGCTCCATATTCCGGCGCTTTGTTCTGAAAGGGAAAGTGGCTGCTTGGGAGTTGATTAGCAGGACGCGCAATTTGTCCTTGAGAAGCAGAGACGGGGATAAGATGCGGTTGTGGGCAGGGAGGGATTTAAAAAGCACGATGATTATTGTTTATGTCGTTACTATCATTTTATTTTTGCTGAAGATGGCAGGATTCGTTAAATGCTAAGAGGAGGACGGCAGTTCGGAGGGCAACGGTGTGCTGTGTGTCTGTGTGTGTATTATGGGAGATTTGGGGAGGTGACAATTAAAGGAGTTTTCCTTGTTTTGGTGCAAGTTGAACCGATTCTTCCAGGCGGTTCTGGGCGGAGAACAACCGCGACGCTCGGGACCCTCGACCCACCCTGCTTATGGGTGCGAGGAACTTCCCCTGCCCGCCCCTTAATCCAAACCCCCCTCCGGCCCCCTCCGGCACATCAAAGGTGAGCTGGAATAATCCTGCGAGGCAGCTCTGTGTAACCTGGCCTGGCCTCTCGAACCGCGCTCCTCTTTCCAGGAGAGGATAGCTCGCCATAATTACAATGCGATTTGGTAATTATTCCTCGGCTTTTAATTATTTAAAGCAGACACATTGAATCCTGCCTTGTGACCAATAAATGTTGCAAGTCCGGACGGTCAGAGGACGGCCCCTCCCCATCCTTGGCCTTTAATTAGACTTTGCCCTGGTAATCGGAGCCGCGGCCGAGCCTTTCCTTCCTTCGGCGGGCGCAGCGGCTCCCGCAACTCCCCAC